TATCTAAATATAGATTATTGTTTGCAAATTGCCGCAAAATAAATTCATATAACATATTTAATTGTAATAATTGTGATATTTCTGTGACTATTTATATAACAAATTCTGTAACAAATGGTTTGTAACATTATATTCTGATAACAAATATAAGATATTGAGAGCTTTTAATGAACTATTTAATAACACTTTGAAGGCGTAATCGTTTACCTTTGCTATAAATACTGAACTGTTCTTCAAATCATACATCAAAACAGTTTTAATTGAATATATTTTCATTCAAATAATTTGTTAAAAATAACATTGAATTCAAAACAATGTCCGCAAAGCAAGCAGTGGTTAGTCCATCAGCTCAGACACCGATAGGTAATTACTCGCAGGCCATCCGACACGGAGACACTGTGTGGCTGTCTGGACAACTTGGATGGGACGTCAAGACAAACCAATTGGTTAAAGAGTCGTTTGAGGCCCAATTGGATCAGCTGTTGAGGAATATCAAAGGTCTGGTGGAGGCCGCCGGCGGTTCCCTCGAAGACATCGTTAAACTAAACCTATATATTCTGGATTACAAGAACTTTCCCACAATTAACAAAGTGGTCGACCGATACTTCAGCGAACCCTTTCCCGCCCGCGCCTGCATTGGTGTCGCGAGTCTTCCGTTGGGCGCCGACATTGAGATCGAGGGTATCGTTCAGTTGCCTCACAAATAAAGGTTTTAGTTGAAAAACTATTTAATTAGTTAATTAATTAATTAAACTATTTAATTCTATTGGATAATTTTGATTTTATATAATATAATCTACCACAAAATAAGGATAATTTCATTTTATCTAAATTAATATTTGACTGACTGTTGATAAGCCTAACTCTAGTATTTTATTAAAGTATAAAATTGAGAATAATATGTATGCAAATTATAAATATAATATTTTTAAAATAATTTTTAACACCTATAAAAAACAATAATACAGTTTATTAGATAAATTAAATAAATTATTTACAATAGTCAACTGATAACTGAATTTTAAGCAAATTATTTAGCTTATAATTAAAATAATTATAAATGTTTGTTATTTTAATAATATGTTTAAATATTACTATTTTAAAATTGTAATTTGCATATTAAAAGTAATCTTAATTACAATAATATGAATTTTTAATTATTTAAGTTTAAACCCATAAATGTATATAAAATAAAAATTTAAACACTTTCTAACTAATATTAAAAATGTAAGTGATTTTCAAAACTCATTTTGAGGGCAATTAGAGTAAAGAATTGATTTTTGAAATTAAAAGTATAATTTCATATCACTTTTAGAAAAAGTAATTATTTCTTAAAATTTTCACAGCAATCATGAGATATCGTCTAAACATAAAACAATATTTGGCACTAATTTACTGATATGTATGATATATTTCAATGCCCTGCCCTTCAGTCTATCAGTTTGAGGGTACAGTGCCTTCAATAATGGGCACAATTTTACACCTAATCTATTGTTTTTTACAATATATTAATTAAATATTAATAATTAAGTAAAATTGAATGCAGTTTCTATCTTATTGTATTTTAAATCAATAGCGTTGACATCATATTTAGGCTATATTTACGATAAAATCTTACGATAAAATTTATAATAAATCATTAAATTTAAAACAATACTTCTTGCTATATATTTTTGAAATAACTTTATTAATTATGTTATTAAAATATGAATATATAGTTTGATCCAAACTTATTGTGATCTAAACTTAGTGCCAATTTTCTTAATTATTATTTAAAGATTATTTAATGGACTCATAAATATTCATTCAATCATTTCTCTCATTAAACAACGAAAATATGGCATAAAATAAATGTTAATTATCTATTAGAGAGAAAACTTATTTTAAGACACATTTGGAAAGCAATCAAAATAAATATTTGATAAATTGAAACACAATTTTCTAATTTAAGATAAAAATATTAATATTTTATTTATAATTATGGTGTTTGAGGTGTTATTTATTATTAAGTAATGATTTTTTCTAATAATAATCAAAACAATAATAATAATAATAAATAGAAATATGAAATTCAATTAGCGATCGACGGGCGAAAAAAGTTTGTCAAATGTGACCAAAATTTATAATCACTATAATTGCTTAGACAAAGGGATTATATTTATATATTAATTATACAATAACTTAATGTGAATTGTCTTATAGCGTACTCTCTCCATTATGTGTTTGTAATTTGGTTTTATAATATAAATTTTAAAGTAACATATTTTTCTAGTATTGTGAGAAAAAATTAATTACTTTAATTCATATATTTTTATTTGTAGAGCATTTAAATTAAACAATTTATTTAACATTATTTAGTGCTGTTTTTCAAATAAACACTAAAAACAATAGAATTTTAATATGCAATTTAAAATTTATATTTTATAAAATTAGATCAAATGTCTTATAAAACAAGTAAATTGTTATTATCTCACATACAGTGTATAAAAAATTGTGTACTTTCTTATTGACACGTAAATAATTTAAGGAAATTTTAGCCCTAATATCCATATCTGTATTACTTATAAACAGATAATATGGCAATATATCAACGATATGTTCATGAATTTAGTTAAATTAATAACAAAATGACTTATTTAGTTAATCAGTCGCTGATTTTAGATCAAGATTAGCATAATTAGCAACTGTGAGTAAAACACAATTTAAAACTTGCATAATTTTATAACAATATTTGTGTACCTTAATTTAAATTTAATAAAATTACATTTAAAGTAATGCATAATTAAAAATTACACAATAAATAGATTAAAGAAAAACAAAAATTAACAAAAAACAAAATAACATAAGAATAAATAGTTCAGGAAATAAGTGATAAGTTTTGGATTTAATGAAGTTTTAATTGAATAAAAACGTCGATTCTCTCAAATATTATTTAAAGCCAATAATAAACACAAATCATTAGTTCGAGTGAATTACACTTTAAGGACATCTTTTTTAATCAAATTAATTATAAAATCATTTGCGAGACGGAAAGCGGGTCAACACATATACAGTCGTCTCAAAATTGTCAGGAGAGAGAGAGAGAGAGAGAGAGAATTGTTTGTCAAACAATGCCATACAGGTGTATGTCTCACACTTGATAGCAGTACTTTACTGTATTTCTTATATTATATAAGTTATATCACATAACAAATGCAAAAACCGCAAGAAATTACAGCCTATTTCTTTTGCACATTAAATATAATGTTTACGTTATGTGAGAAAAATCTTCTTAAATATATAATATTCTTATTATTGACTAATAAGTGATTTGAAGATATATTTCATGTATATATTTATTGGCAAAATGTTATGCAAATCGTGTTTTACGAGTAATTGCTTCGATTAACATCACTGCCAACGGAGGACACGATTATTATTGATCCGTAAAACACCCATTCCTTCACTCCTTTTATTATTAGCCCTATTTATATATAAAGTCTTTTGTGTTTAAGTATTCACAACACAACTCTTTCCACCAATTGTTTAGTTAGCAGTGATTTTCGAAGAAAACTTTGAAGTGATTTAACGACAAATGTATTGTACCTTAAAATAAAATTAAAGGATTAAATGTGTGGTTAAGAGAAACACTCGTTTGTATCAACAGCTGTCCAGAAGTGTCTTTTCAAGTGTTTTATTAAACAACATTTTATTGTCGGAAAAAGTTTTTAGTCATATTGTTTTGACGGCATATTGAAGATGAGGTTTAAAGTGAACCATTTGGTGACATTCACGTCGACATCGCAACGCCAACAGACATACTATGAGGCCATCCATCGGCTCCAAGAAGTGGAGGAAGTGATCGGCGTTTGGCGACAGAAAGTTTTCATTGAGTTAAAAGAAAACAAGTTAAACATTTTGGACTCAAACTCCAGCGAAATCATTGAACACTTCCCGACGATCTCTGTCCGCAAACCCGAAGCCATTGATTACAATTCGGTTTATTATAATTTATTGATTTTTACGGTTTATTTATCGAAAGAATCGGCAGAAATGCATATTTTTGACTGTCGTTCGCAAAGCGCTCAACAAATTGTCGATGAGATGAATAGTTGGCGGAAACAGAGTTTGGAGTCATTGCCGCGAATGGTCTCCACGTATCCGATCGTCAATTACACCGAAAAGGGCTTAAAAACGTATGCATTGATCGATAAAAACAAAAACGATTCCCAATTATTGGAGAGAAGAATGGATTTTAAGCCCAAAACCAAAGTTAAAGAGACAGTCAATGCCTTCAATCAGATTGCGATTCAACGCAAGAGAACCGAGAAGATTGAAAAATTGGTTACTAATGATGAAAATGAGCCCCAATTGGATAGCAATTGGGAAATTAAGCCCAAAAAGTTACAGCCATTCAGATATTTCTAAATATATTAAATCAAATCGTTTGACAAATCAATTAAAAAAATTAATGCTTCAAAATAAATATATTTGTTGAGTGTTTTTGGTTTTGGGAAATAAAGTTTTGTTTGTAATTATTTCTTTGTTGAAGTGATAAATGTGTAGAAAATTTTCTATTTCTACCAAACAATTACCGAAATCTATGTCTGTTTTGCCATTTGTCCAAAAATAGTTATTTTCACAATGTTTTTTAATTGACATCTCAATTGTGTTCGTTTATTCAATAATTATTTATTGACTTTCTATTTATGTAACAATAATATCATATCATATATTATAAATAATTATGCAATTCATGTGTTTTTGTGATAAATATTTTGATTTAATTGTGGAAATGTTTTTATATATTTTAGATTAAATTGTTAATCTCGTCTCAAATATATGCAGTTGTATTGCAAATCAAACAAAATATTATAAAAAGTACTTAAATATGTGAATTAATTAATATTCCTGACTCTACGTGTATTTTTCATACAATTTTTTCTATTTATACATTTTTTTATTGCTAATCAATAAAATGTTTCAATAATTTATGATCTTTTAAATTTGTTGCAATAATTAAACTTTAAAAAGTGTAATTATTTTGACTTTTTACATACCGTAGAAATCTAGTGATTGGCCTTCAAATTGAATTAAATATAAATGATCTAAATATGGAAATAAAGTTTAATTTTTGAGAAATCACTTTAAGAATCGGTTTAAATGTCAGTTTTGAAACACAAATTTTGATAAAATATTACAGAGAGAGAGAGAGAGAGAGAGAGAGAGATTCACAAATGTTTTAAATAAATTATTTGGTTTGAAGAGATTGTCAAAATTTGAATTCATTGAATGACAATTTAATTACTTAATTACTTCAAAACAACTATTAAAAGTGAAATTCTTATTATTGAATTATGCTAAATTTACTGTATTCAATATCTATTTTATATTCAAAAACTGAATTTAAATAACAAACAAATTTAAATAAATCACCTTTACTTTAAGTTTAAATTGAATTTTATGTTGAAATCTATTAATACATAAATCAATAAAAGTTTATGAATTCATTAGTGTTTATATTTCCTTATAATTGGTATGTTTTTATTCACGCTTTAATGAATTAATAAGTTTTCATACGTAAAAAATCATAATTTATTCATTTCTTTAACAATTTATTTATGGAAAAAGTATTAGAATTGTTCATAAGTTTTAATACAAAACAAAACAATTAATATAAAAACATTGTAAACAAATAAAGTAACTTAAAAACACATTTCACTTTTTTGTTGCTGAAAAAATATTATCAATAATTTATTGGTATTTAAATTTTGCGACAATAATTATAAAAACATTTAAAAGCATTAAAAATAAGCATAAATTATTGGGTATTCACATAGCACTGGTCTGTCGGAGCATTTGCTTTAACTTTTTATCCTTTTCATCTCTCCATAGAATAACGCAATGAATAATAGAGACAATTGTGATAAAAGCGTGAATTATTAAATACCAGAACACATAATATTGGTTATCAAATAAATGCCATTTCATTGCTTCGGTAACAGTGAGGGTGACCGAGAAGAAGGCGCCCAACGTATGAAACAATAGGAACAGAGATAACAACGAGGTATATATGGCAGACATTAGGAAGTTTTTGTTACGGGCGCCGACCATTCCCAGCACCACCACTACATTGGCAAACATGAGGGCCACCACCAGCAGGATTCGGGCCAATTGATAGGTACGGGTGTTGTCACTACCCGTCCTGTCAAACATGTTCCAGAATATGATGGAATCCATGCCTATCTTCAGTAGCAGTATATTCACCACCAGAACCGACAGACCGAACACTATTATCAACCATTTCAACACAACTCGTGGCAATTGTTTGGATTTAATTAATTGCGATAAAGACTTAGACATTATTGTAATTATATGTCTGCGATATCAATATTGAAATGTCACGTCCAATACATACGGCTTTCGCGTACAAATGAAACACTTTATTTGTGCATCAATTTCGCAAATTATTTTTCAAAAATTATTATTGATTTTTATATTTCTACTTATAATAAGTTTTTAAGCTAAAGTTGCAATTAATATATTCAAAATAAATAAAAAAACTACTCGTTTCATTGATTTAAATCAATTTGTAAAATCATTTATTTTAGTGGCAAACTGTGGGAAACACTTTAGCAAAACTATTAAACTTGTGTTTTTTCGCTATCATTTAGAAACCGCACCATTCATTGCAACGAAAAGCAATGTTCAACACTTGAAACATTTGATTGCATCTGAAATGGTATTGAAGTCTGTCATGAACTTCATGTTAAGACACTATTTATGAGAAATCGACACTAAAATTGAGTGAAGAGTTTTCAATCTCTTTCTTTCTGTCGGCTCTAAACGCGTTTGCCTTGAATTCACTGCTCATTTCAATGCTAACAGAATATTGAATATTTCTTTTCCCGCAATTAGTAATGCATTCATATATTTCTCAAATCTCTATAAATAGATGGAAAATATTTCGAAAAAAACAATAGAAACCATTGTTTCTCAGTTTAAATGTTGTAAACTATTATAATTCAAAGCCATTATATTTTGTATAATAAAATAATTACAATATTAAATGGCTTTACAAAACAGGAATATAAAAAACTTAAAATAATTTTGATAAACACTCATGTCCAATGAAATAAACTGTTTATTTAATAACTCTTAATAGTGGCTAGAATAAAACTACCATGTTAGGAAAGTCTAAAAATAGTAATGTTATTTAATATTGTATAACATAATTGTAATGAAAACTTTATCCCATATTAAAACTATGTAAAACTAACTGATAAAGTGTCCGAACAAATAAATGGCATATATTATGCTAATACTGGCTATTATTAGTACACGTTATGGCTGTCAATGAATTGTACAGAATATCCAGAATCTGATAGCAATATAACTGTAAGTCTAGTACAGTATAGCTATATATGCGGCGAATCGTCGCCACCAATAGCCACACAATTGCCGCTCAAAAACCAATGCTTTACTCTTATATACCGTACGATACGATAGAAAAAGCACTCAAATAGCCTATCGTTATGTCATAAACGCAATGAACGCTTAAAATGTATGCAAAAGTGCATTATTTATTGCATTCGCACTCAAATACTGACACAAACAGCGCATCCATTCGTGCCCTTTATATGTAAGCCTATTATGCAATAAGTGTTGACTGATTTTCCATACAAAAAAGCTCTTCATTTAGTTTTCTATCCATATTTCTTACGTCAGACTTATTTATGCCATAACTCACTAGCGATCCCTTCACAGCATTTATGGCCCTTTTATAACCATAACATTCATATAAAACACATGATTAAAAAGTACCAAACAATCGGTTTCCACAGTTAACCCATTGGCGCCGATCGCCAGCCATTGGCCTAACCATAGAAAACGTGTGCTTAAAAAGTGTGACTAAAAGATAAGGCAGTGATTAGTGTTGTGTTTGTGAAGACAATAACAAAAACAGTGGAAACGATTGCTTCGATCGCTTCGAGTGTTAGTGTGTTTTCTCATCGCTTGGCAATCAATGGCCGACTCTTCGCAAACCCATTCGTGTGACCATTGGGTCAGCTCCTCCTCAATGATGATCAACAACAACATCGACTGTCCGTCCGATGTGTCGGACTGTGCGGACGGCGGACACAACCACTCGATGGGCTCCGTCTCGTCGGTGGGCTCGACGTCGTCGCTGTCGACGGCCGGCGGCGCCGCTCTGGCCATGGGTTTCGTGTCTCCCTCTCCGCCGCCGGTCTCTCACTCGCCGTCGTTGTCGTCGATGGAGAGGTTGGAGGCGGAGAACCGGGCGCTCAGACAGGAAGTGGACGGACACAAGTTGCGCATCAAATCGCTGATGGAGGAGAACAAGTCGCTGAGGAGGGCGTCGGTGTCCATACAGGCCAAAGCGGAACAGGAGGAGGAGTTCATCAGCAATACACTACTCAAACGCATCCAAGTGCTCAAGAAGGAGAAGGAGACGCTCGCACTCAACTACGAGCACGAAGAGGAGTGTCTCACCAACGACTTGAGCCGCAAACTCAACCAATTGAGGGCCGAAAAGGTATGTTGTCTTCCCCGAGACGGCGAGCAGTCGGGCAGTGGTGTTGGTGTGTGTGTTGTCTGCCATCCATTGGTCGCTCAATGGATGACATTTTGTATTGTTTGCGGATTAGTAGATGAGGTGATTGTCCCACACATTGACATATCAAACGTCAAACGCATGCCATATGGGCTTTGAGGGCGACTGTCACAGGAGTTAGGAGACAATGGGTATTGGATTATATGATATGATGGGTGTGTGTAGTGAATGGATGTGATGGTGGTGTGAGTGTTGTGCCGAGCGGTGTATATGTGTCTAATGTATGTATGTATTGACCTATTGGTTGACCCATAGGTGCAATCGGAGCGCACGCTAGAGCAGGAACAGGAGGCGTTCGTCAATAAACTGATGCGAAAGATCGAGAAACTGGAGAACGAAACGCAAGCGAAGCAAAAGAATTTGGAACAATTGAGACGCGAGAAGATCGAGTTGGAGAACGCGCTCGAACAGGAACAGGAGGCTCTCGTCAACAAACTGTGGAAACGCATGGATCAGCTCGAGAGCGACCACTCCAACCGCTGACATACGGCCTTAAGCCCCACTCCTCCTCCACACCCCTCCCCTACCAGTCCCACTCCCGCGCCCCCCGTTGAAGAGCCTACCCCTCCTCCCGACAATACCGATCCCCCCTCTCTCGACCCCACGTCCTCCCCCTCGCCCTCTCTTTTTTAACACCCCCTCTAACCACACATTTTACCCAATGTTTTAATAAGCGTGAGAATATATAAAGTGGAAGAAAGTGAACGGCAAAGAGATTTTCAGATTTAATATCAGATCATATAATCATTTTATTATTCAAATATCTCTAATCATATAATTATTATTAATATTTTATCTCAGATTTAAAGATTGTATTTCAAATAAAATAATAATACAAAACAAAGTTTTGATTGTTTTCCAATAAAATTACACGAAATAAGTTTTTTAAATCGTTTTTTGTTTTGTTTGTTTCATTTAAAGTAATCTTATTTTTTGCGAAGTAATGCTCGCAATAAAAACACATTTCAGTACATATTGTACCCATTGTTTTGTTATGTCTGCCGTGAATTCATTTTATTTTTGTTTATATAGTTTTTATGCAGAATATAGACAAATGAATAGCTTATAGGAAATTAATTTGAATTCGTTTAATAACCCAAATATCAGTCATCTCTCCAATAGTGTCGTTATTTTGGTAATCGATAGCAAAACCATATGTTAAACAAATAAATCTCGAGTGGCTTTTAGAAGAGAAAAATGTGGTACAGAAATGTATATAATATTACCGTTATTTGCAATTATCACATATTTCCAGATTAAATACATAAATACTTTTATCAAAAATTAATTATTATTCAAATATCTCTAATCATATAATTATTATTAATATTTTATCTCAGATTTAAAGATTGTATTTCAAATAAAATAATAATACAAAACAAAGTTTTGATTGTTTTCCAATAAAATTACACGAAGTTTTTTAAATCGTTTTTCGTTTTGTTTGCTTCATTTAAAGTAATCTTATTTTTTGCGAAGTAATGCTCGCAATAAAAAACACATTTCAGTACATATTGTACCCATTGTTTTGTTGTCTGCCGTGAATTCATTTTATTTTTGTTTATATAGTTTTTATGCAGAATATAGACAAATGAATAGCTTATAGGAAATTAATTTGAATTCGTTTAATAACCCAAATATCAGTCATGTCTAGGGTTGGCAATATACAAAATTTGTATTATACAATTGTATTATTCCTTGTATTATTCCTTGTATAATACAAAGCAAGATTTGCTTTTTGTACAGAGTGATTAAAATATACCAGACATCCCTGGGCGCTGACATTATGATAACATGTGTGAGTTGCTGAGCAACACAATACAACTTTTGCTGTCTTTAACGGTTTTCAACAAAAGTTGTATTGTGTTGCTCAGCAACTCACACATGTTATCATAATGTCAGCGCCCAGGGATGTCTCGTATATTTTAATCTCTCTGTATAATACAAAAGTGGTACAGCGCCACCTATTGGTAAAATATTGTAAACACGTCAAAACACCTGAAAATTTTTTGAAAAAGTAATTGAATCAACCTTTCTATGTGATACAATTATTAATTAAAACAATATACCATGTATAAGATAAATGCATTAAAACTGTTTAATTTTTGTTTTTAAAACATATTAATTTTTTCCCCATAGTAAGTAAAAATACAAGTATAATACAATGATTTTTGTATTATACAATGTATAATACAAAGCTTCGAAATTTTTTTTGTATTATTCCAACCCTAGTCATGTCTCCAATAGTATCGTTATTTTGGTAATCGATAGCCAAACCATATGTCAAACAAATAAATCTCGAGTGGCTTTTAGAAGAGAAAAATGTGGTACAGAAATGTATATAATATTACCGTTATTTGCAATTATCACATATTTCCAGATTAAATACATAAATACTTTTATCAAAAATTAATATTTTGTTTTTTATTATAATTTCAATTTAAATATATTTATCAAACTTATATATCGGTAGATATTAACAAAGAATATGAGTTTTAAAAACACAACTTTTTATAATTAGCTGTCAATTGGTTTAAAAAACAACTGATTATTAAACGATTTACGAATTTAAATAACATTCAATTAATTTGAAACATTGATAATTAAATAGTATTTTTGTTATCATTACATCAATTATCATTTGATTCTTGGTTGCGGTCTTCAGGTGACAGACAATTTCAATGACAATGTTCTGTGATATCAACGGCCGTTGACTTATACCACCCGAACAGGAAATAGCCGACACCGGCGCCGATCAGTACAGCGATACAAAAATATACATTATATGTCATAAAGACTAGCATTAATAGGTATGATATGAAAAACTGGAGCACATGTAGCCCTGTCTGGAACAGGTGTGGACACGAAAACATTTTCCTATATCTACCAAATAAACAGTTATTTTTAATTATTCAATATTTTCAAACATATATGTCTCATAAGAATGGCATACATTTCCATCTTGTCGTCCCTCCCGGGGCCGGGAATTCTAGCGCTTCCGTTCGTTCGGATACCGTTGGGAGTGTCCGACACGTAATACGTTGTGATTCGCCACGACTTCAACAGATACTCGCGATAATACTTCAGACCCTCGTATATGACCGCCAATAGGAATATGAGAGCACACGTCCACACCATATCTGCCCATACCATACAATCAACACATTTTCATTATTAAAAATAATTTGTTAAACATGTTTAAATACAATTCAATACCCCCAGCATTGGCCGGTTTCCAGCCTTTGAACAGCACATAATCGGTGCCAATATTTGTGTGGAAATACATTTTCATCATATCGTGAGACATCATATCGTGGCCGCTGTGGTCGCTCTCTTGAGCCAACACATTGTGGGCTTCGTGGCCGACATCGTAGCCAACGGTTGTGGTCTCGACGGCCATATGGGCGTGATGTGCATTGTGGTGGCTGTGATCCATCACTTTACTATCAGTTTCTCATTATTTTCTATTCACAAACAAAATACAAAAATATTATGTAATTTTAATACAAATATTTAGCCATTTTTAATAAAAATATAATAAAAACCATATTTTAAATTAAATAATATTCACTATATTTTATATTTCATTTAAATGTAATTCAAGGCAAACCAGAAGTTATACATAATTTTTATTATATTTTTTAAATAGGATTTTCAATAATACTCATCACAATTGACGTAAAAGTATTATCAATTTATTTTAATTTAAAATAATTTTCAAACAATAGTTATCCGTATTCTCAATGAATAGCTATTTTTTTGCTAACAAAATATTCAATTTATAATTAATTAAAAAATTGTAATTAAAATTTTTCAATGATTAATCATTGATTATTGTATAAACATTTCTCAAATATTGTGCGAAGAGATTGATTTGAAATCAATTATTTCATTGTTTAATACAATTCATTTCAAAACCAAATATAATAAAACTCGTCATTCATTTCCTTTCAATAAAAATACCAAATATTAACGCAAATACCAATTGAATGCCAACTGAAGACATACTACCAGTAAATATGGTGTCAATGAAATCAATTTACAACAGCTTTTTTACATTAATTAATTTATGACTCCATTGTGTTGTTAGAGACAAAACAAATCCTAATTGATTGCTATATTTAATAAATCGATGTCTCGATAGAAATAGCATTTATAGACCAGGAATTATCAGAATATCCTAATTATCGGATTTCATAACAAAGATTAATAGGCGGCACATATTGTTTGAGGGTTTAATAATCCCTATTATAGTTATTATTAATATTAGTTAAGATATTAAAAGTGTGATCAATGTTTTCATATTATCTGATGATGTAAACTAATAATTAAATTATTACCAGAATTTATGTCAGAAAAAACACTTATGTCAAGTAATTATTACATGTAATGTTATTGTAGATATGATAACAATTAACATTTCTTGCATAAATGTCTAATATTGTAAATCATTAAATTAATTTAAATATGTAAAATTGTTAACATAGAAATTTAGTTAACGTAATCAAATTTATGGTCACATTAACCAGAATTGTTTTATACAAAATCCATTGTTATTTATGACCATTATCAGATAACTATAGTATAATTATTACCATCATTATTATTACTCTTTGTGGTTATTTCTTATATAATAAAATTCAATAATAAAGTGCAATGAAAGAGGAATATTAAAAGCAAACAAATGACAACAACATGGTATTAGTTATCATTCCGATTCTGGTGTATATTTATAGTGTAAGGAATCTAAACACCAGTTTATTTTCAGACAATACAAGGAGTCAGAGAGGGATAGGATTTTACAATCGATGACATAAAACATTAGAAATTTATAAATAAAAACAAAATTAATTATAATATGAGAATGTATTTGCAATTTATTGTAAATAAAAAATCAAGGATTCAACAGAATTTTTGGTCCAAAATACCACTCCATTGAATATAATTGAATAGTAATACACATGTCTTGTTTTCATAACTTATTTATATTTACTAAATTATCTAATATTATGTATAATCCTTTTAATGTTACTTAAATTTTGACTAACATATTGACCAAAGACATAACTGAAACGAAAACTCTATGCGACAACATTAGGCTCGACATGTAATCGTCAACATTAATAATACTTTTAATATTATTAAATTTAAATTTTAAAATATTTACATTACAATAAATTAAACACTAGTTATAATGTCTGATTACGCTATCAATCAAAATATAATATTCACAAATCGTATTAACATTAAAACAAAATATTGTATTCAAGTATTGAAATCATATTCAAAGGATGTTTGAAAAATAGTTAACAACAAAACAGTTTAAATTAAAAACATATATCAAATTTAAAAATAAGATTGTAATAAGTATTTTAATTATTCGAGTCTTGTGTTTATAGTAACAGAGAAATAAAATGTACTTATTTTTATAGTAATAAAGTACGAAATAAAACAACATATAAATCCATATCTAGATAATAAATTCTATTAATAAAAATACCCTCTATGTAAGTTTATTTTCGTAATAATTACCGATATTACGTTATGAGGGGCTGTCCGGGAGTGGTGGGGGTATAACTCAAATATGTTGTCAATATTTATTCAGTTTTATATAACAATCATCATAAACATAATGATCGTAAATAATCATATGATTAATTACCACAATTAATTACTCTCTCTCTCTCTATCTCTCTCTCTCTCTCTCTCTCTCTCTGCAGCAAATTGTATCCGAGTTAACAACAAAAAGCTATTATCTCAATGAATACATGTTATTTTAAATGAAATTAAATTTTGTAAAAAAGTAAATCAAAACTTTTTGAATGAATGGTTAGATAACACAAAAAATTGAATTCATTTTCTGAACTAAATCCTAATATTTGGGTCAAAACTTTCAAAATTATATAAATGAATGGTTAAAACACAACATTTTTATTGTCTAATATTATAAAATTTAAAAAATATCATTTTTTCAATAGTAATAATAATAATAATTAAACTCAA